GATTTCCCTTGTATCCGTGAAGGAGTCACCAGTCGCTAAGGTCCTGGAAAGGTCATCAATACGACAGCTTTCTCTGGGTCTCTGAGTCTTCATCTAATACAACAAAAGACTGAACACGCAAGCCCCCAGTCTTTCCTGACAAGGAGCCTTGTCCTTTTCATGTGGCTACTTCTCTAACTCTCATATTGGACCCTAGGTCCTGACCATTTTATTTTTCTCCTACTAAACAGAAATAGTGAACACATTTCTTTTGGGACGTGTTAGTTATGGACCCATAGAGACAGCCACGCATTTCCGCTGGCCTCAGCACTCAGAGTGACCACTACATGGAGTGATAGAATCCCTCAGAAGGAGACAGCGTGCTTTAATTTGCTTGTACAGTTAGGCCTGCAGATCTTGAGGGGATTTGCTTTGGTTCCTGGAGATTCTGGAATGGCCCATTTGCTCTGCTCTTCCGGTCCTCCTTTCTGGTGTTCAGGGCCAGTGGGAACCTCTGGAGGAGAGGGTGCCTGGGCAGCTCCATACTGGGTCTGTGGTTCCGTGGTTGCACTTGATGAATGGGGTCGTCAGATCTGCTTGGCTACTCAGTTGTTATGGAAGACTTGCTTCCAGTTGGTTGGACAATGTCATGCACACAAACTAGTACATGCTGGTGTTGCTGGTGCCACATGGCAGTTGCTGGTGGCCAGTGACCATGCTGTGGTGTCACATGGCAGTGGCCACATCATGGCGGTGGCCACATCGTGGTGCCATGTGGCACTGACTACGCTGTGGTGCCACGTGGCAGTGACCATGCTGTGGTACCACATGGCAGTGACCATATTTCAGTGCCATGAGGCAGTGACCACATAGTATATTTTCACTGGCTCTTCTCCATTTCACCCCCAGCCAGATGAGCCGGCACCTGGACTTGAACCCTGCTCTGTCCTATTGAGAAGGGCGGTGGAGAGACTGACTATGTTTGTTTTTTACACACCCTTCACAGCTCAGACATTGGAGAGCGTTACCTGAGGTTTTCTGAGCTGAATTCAGACTCCAGGAACCGCAGGAACAGATCCCGGCCCACCTGGTCTTTCAGAATCTCATCGAAGGAGAAGCCCCATCTCCGCACCCGCTGCTGGCTGGGTTCCTTGCTGTGGGCAGGGAGGAGGGTTAGAGAGTGGTCAGTGCAGCATAGCCCATGTCATTCCTTCCTCCATGACCTGCATTTGTTTCCCGCCATGCACCAGGGGGTGGCATCTACTACTTACGGGACAGATTCTACAGAACCCACATGATTCCATACGTACAAACCTGCACATCTTAAAGGAAGCACGCGGAAGGGGTTGTGTCCAAGGGTCTCAGGGAGACCAGCAAGGGGCTGCTGTCCACAATCCAGCACCAGCAAGCCTCCCTGGGCTCTTCAGTCATCACAGGTCCAGTGTGGAACTCCATCATTTTTTCACTTTTACTGTAACCCTGGGCGCTTCATGGTCCCAACCTTTCATCAAAATCACAGTTCCTCCTCCCACCTTCCCTTAACCTGCGGGAGCAGCTCAGGTCCTGCTCAGAGGCTGGTGACGTTCAACTGATGGGAAATGCATCGACTTGCCCAGGACAGGCCTTGTGCATGTGGTGGAGGCGGACTGTCGCCACCACTTATAGATTTACAGCCACATGTGCCATGTACACTGTTTTGGATGGCATTCCAAGCCTTGTGCACATGCTGGCTCACCAAGTCCTCACAGCTCCTGTGTGAAGCAGTGCATTAGCATTCCTCCCACCTTCCTCTCTTTCCAGATAGGGAAACTGAGGCCTGTTGATAATTTGCTCAATGACACACAGCTAGGACATGAGGGAGGCAGGAGTGGACTCTAGACAGTGTGGCTCTGGAAGGCAGCTCTGAACCTGAATCACTGTGCAACCCACACGCCGGCCAAAGAGGCTACTGGCTATGCCCTCTGGGATCAGACAGTGAGAATAACTTCTGCAGCTTCTGTCACTTCCTTAAACTCCACATGCCCTATCAACCCCAACCCTTCAAGCTGCAGGAGGGGTCCAATGCACAAATCGTGGGCTAATTCATGAGACACATGCTCTCACATGCTCACACATGTTTTCAAACACACACACACTCTTGCATGCTCACAATACTCTCACACACACTCTCACATGCTCTCTCACCTGCTCACTCATGTGCTTTCACATGATCACACACACATACATGCTCACAAACATGCTGTCACTCCTCCCTACCCAAGGTCATGGCCTGAAAGCAGAACCCTAGTCCCCGCCCAGACTTGCTGCACCAGAACCTATATTTTCACATGAGCCCCAGGTCATGGATGTGCATGTTAAGATCTGGGGAACATCAGTCTAGCAAGTCTTATCTTTCCTCTTTTTAAAAACAGATACATGCTTTTATGTTCTTTCTAGCAGACAGTAAGTGAATAAAACCATACTTCCTTTTATTATGGAGCTGACATATTTTCACTATTTTCAATAATTTTCAATAATTATGCTTTGTAAACAGAGGAGGAGAGTCTGTGTGCTGGAAGAAAAAGCAAATCACTCTGTACCAGTGCTGCTTAGTAGAACATCTTCCAAGATGGAGACATCCCATTGTGAGATCTCCAGTGTGGCCACCACCAACCCATGTGACTGGTGGGACTTGAAAAGTGGCTGCTGCAACTGACAAGCTGAATTTTAAATTTTATTTAATTTTAAATTTAATTTAACTTAAAATAATTCAAGTTTATGAAATGAATGACAACTACTACACAAGTTATCAAAACCTCTGGAACATAGCCAAAGCTATACTTAGAGGAAAATTTATAGCACTTAAGGTCTACATTAAAAAGACTGAAAGATCACATATTGACACCCTAATGTCACATCTTAAGGAAGTAGAAAAACATGTAAAAACAAACCCAAAGCTAGCAGAAGAAAATAAATATCAAAGATCAGAGCAGAACTAAATGAAATTGAAGCAAACAAAAAAAGACTAAGGATTAATGAAGGAAAAAAGTTGGCTCTTTGAAAAGATAAACAAAATTGATAGAGCACTAGCTATATTAATTAAGAAATGAAGAGAGAAGATTTAAATTAATTTAATCAGAAATGAGAATGGACACCTTAAGACAAATACCACAGAAATACAAAGGATAATCTGACGTCATTATGAACACCTCTATATAAACAAACTAGACAATCTAGAGGAAATGGATAAATTCTTGGAAAAATGCAACCCCCCAACCTTGAATCAGAAAGAACCAGAAACCCTGAACAGACCAGACTTTCAAAGAAGAACTAGAACCAATCATACTGAAGTTATTCCAGAAGATTAAAAAGGAGGAAATTCTCCCTAACTCATTCTACAAAGTCAGTATCACCCTAATACCCCAAACAGAAAAAGACATAACAAAAAAGGAAAACTACAGACCAATTTTCCTAATTAACATAGATGCAAAATCCTCAACAAAATACTAGCAAACCGAATTCAGTAGCATGTTAAAAAAATATAATATACCCTGATCAAATAGGATTCATCCCTGGAATGCAAGGATGATTCGAGATATGCAAGTCAATAAATGTGATTCAGCACATAAGCAGAATTAAAAACAAAAAGCATATGATCATTTCAATAGACACAGAAAAAGGATTTGATAAAATCAGCATCCCTTCATAATAAAAAACCATCAGCAAAATAGGCATAGAAGAAGCATTCCTCAAAATAGTAAAAGCTATATATTACAAACCCACAGCCAATGTCATCCTGAATGGAGAAAAGTTGAATGCATTCCCCCTCAGAACTAGAACAAGGCAAGGATGCCCATTTTCACCATTCCTACTCAACATAGTACTGAAAGTCCTAGCCAGGGCATTCAGGCAAGAGAAAAGAAAAATAAAGAGTGCATACAAATTGGAAAATAAGAAAATCAAACTATCTTGCTATGCTGACAATCTGATCTTATGCCTAGAGAATCCTAAAGACTTCTCCAAAAAACTCCTGGACTTGATAAATGAATTTGGTAAAGTTTCAGATGCAACATCAATACACACAAATCAGTAGCACTGTTATTCACCAATAGCAACCAAGCTGAGAATCAAATCAAGAACTGAATTCCATTTACGATAACAGCTAAAAAGCTAAAATACCTAGGAATATGTTTAACCAAGGAAGTAAAAGATCTCTACGAGGAGAACTACAAAGCACTGATGAAAGAAATTGTAGAGGACACAAACAAATGGAAAAACATTCCATGATTACAGAGTGAAAGAATCAACATTGTTAAAATGACTGCATTACTCAAAGTAATCTATAGATTCAATGTAATCCTATCAAACTACTAAAATCATTTTTCACAGAATTAGAAAAAAGCATTTAAAATTCATATGGAACCAAAAAAGAGCCAGAATAGCCAAAGTAATCCTAAGCGAAAAGAACAAAGCTAGAGACATCATATTACCTTATTTCAAATTATACTACAAAGCAGTAGTAACCAAAACAGCATATATCATAGAGAATCCAGAAATAAAACCAAATATCTACAACTAATTGATCTTCGACAAAGCAGACAAAAATATATACTGGGGAAGGGACACCCTATTCAACAAACTGTGCTAGGAAAATTGGAAAACTACATGCAGAAAAATGAAACTTGATTTCTATCTCTCCCCATATATAAAAATTAACTCAAGATGGATTAAAGATTTAAATGTCAGACATGAAACCATAAAAATCCTCCAAGAAAACCTAGGAAAAACTCTTTTGGACATTGGTCTAAGCAAAGACTTTATGACTAAAAAGCCAAAAGCAAAGGCAACAAAAAAATAAATAAGCGGGACTTAATTAAACTAAAGAGCTTCTGCACAGCAAAAGAAATAAACAACAGAGCAAACAGGCAACCTACAGACTGGGAGAAGATATTCACAAACTGTACAGCTGACAAAGAACTAATTATACATCTACAAAGAACTCAAACAAATCAGCAAGATAAAAGCAAATAACCCCATTAAATAGAGGGCAAATGACATGAACAGACATGTTTCAAAATAAGATATAAAAATGGCCAACAAACAAGAAAAAAATGCTCAACATCACGGAAATGTAATTTAAAACTACAATGAGATACCATCAATCAGAATGGCCATTATTAAAAAATAAAAAAAAGATATTGACACAGATGTGGTGAAAAGGGAATGCTTATGCACCATTGGTGGGAGTGCAAATTAGTACAACCTCTATGGAAATCGATATGAAGATTTCTTGAAGAACTAAAAGTAGATCTACCTTATGATCTAGCACTTCGACTACTTGGAATCTACTCAAAAGAACAGAAATTGTAATACAAAAAAGACATCTGAACTTGGATGTTTATTGCAGTACAATTCACAATTGCAAAGATGTGGAATCAACCTCAATGACCGTCAACTGATCAGTGGATAATGAAAACTACACACACTCTCTCTCTCTCTGTCTCTCTCTCTCTCTCTGTCTCTCTCTCTCTCACACCCCATGGAATATTATTCAGCCATCAAAAGAATGAAAGAAGTCTTTTGAAGCAACTTGGATGGAACTGGAGAACACCATTTTAAGTGAACTAACTCAGGAACAAAAAACCGAACACTGCATGTTCTCACGTCTAAGTGGGAGCGAAATAAGGTTCTGCAAAGGCATAGAGAATGGTGTAATGGGCACTGGAGACTCAGAGGGAGGAGGATGGGAAGGGGTAGAGAGATGAAAAATCACCTACTACAGAGGTGGGAGTGGTGGGTACACTTAAAGCTCAGACTTCTTCACCACTATACAAAGCAGTCATGTAACCAAAAACCATTTGTACTCCCTAAAGTTACTGAAATAAAATAAATAAAATAGCTCAAGTTTAAAGATAAATAGCCACATGGATCTAGTGACCACTGAATTGGATTTGCAGCTCTAGAGGTAAGCCACCCAACGCAATTATCTCTGCCTCAGTGCACGTAACCAGCGACAGCAGTATTGTCTCATTCCAAGGAAAATGACACCAGGACAAACCATGGGGAAGTCCACGAAAGACCTGGTCCAAAGCACAAGGCTGGGCCTCTTACAACAAGATATGAAGATGGAGCCAGGATTTTCTCAAATACAAGCCACAGACCTAATCAAATTCAA